CACCATTTGTTGAAGATGCTTTTTTTCCCATTGTATATTTGTAGCTTCTTTGTCGAAGAGCAGATGTTCATACATGAATGGGTTAATATCAGGGTGGTCATTTTGATTCCATTGGTCTTCCTGTCTATTTTGGTGCCAATACCAAGCTGTTTTCAGGACTACAGCTCTATAATAGAGCTCGAAGTCAGGGATGGTGATGCCTCCAGATGTTGCTTTGTTAAATAAGGTTGTTTTGGCTATCGTGGGTCTTTTATTTTTCCATACAAAGTTGATTATAGTTCTTTCAAGGTCTGTGAAGAATTGTGCTGGTATTTTAATGGGGATTGCATTAAATCTGTATATTGCTTTCAGTAAGATTGCCATTTTTACTACATTGATCCTACCTATCCAAGAGCATGGGAGATCTTTCCATTTTCTGATGTCTTCTTTAATTCCTTTCTTTAAAGACTCAAAGTTCTTGCAATACAGATCTTTCACTTGTTTGGTTAGTGCTACCCAAGGTATTTTATGTTGTTTGTGGCTATTGTAAAGGGCGATATTTCTCTGATTTCGTTCTCAGCCCTTTTATCCTCTGAATATAGTAAGGCTACTGATTTTCTTGAGTTGACCTTGTATCCTGTCACTTTGCTGAAAGTATTTATCAGCTACAGGAGTTCCCTTGTAGAGTTTTTTTGGGTCACTTATGTAAACTGTCATATCATCTGCAAACAGTGAAAGTTTGACCTCTTCTTATCCAATTTGTATCTCCTTGATCTCCTTTTGTTGTCTTCCTGCTCTAGCTAGAAATTCAAGTACAATATTGAAGAGGTATGCAGAGAGTGGACAGCCTTGTCTTGTTCCTGATCTTAGAGGAATTGCATTGAGTTTCTGTCCATTTATTTTGATATTGGCTGTTGGTTTGCTGTATACAGCTTTTATTATGTTGAGGCAAGTTCCTGTTATCCCAGATCTCACCAAGACCTTTATCATAAAGGGGTATTAGATTTTGTCAAAGGCTTTTTCAGCTTCAGTGAGATGATCATGTAATTTTTGTTTCTCAGCTTGTTTATATGGTGGATTACATTGATGGATTTTCATATGTTGAACCAAACCTGCATGCCTGGTATAAGGCCTACTTGATCATGGTGGATGAGTTTTCTGATGTGTTCTTAGATCCGATTTGACAGTATTTTATTGAGTATTTTTGCATCAATGTTCATGAGGGATATTGGTCTGAAGTTCTCTTTCTTAGTTGTGTCTTTGTGTGGCTTTGGTATCAAGGTTATTGAAGCCTAGTGGAAAGAGTTTGGCAAAGACCCTTCTGCTTCTATTGCGTGAAATGCTTTGAGAAGAATTGGTATAAGCTGTTCTTTGAATTTCTGGTAGAATTCTGCACTGAGGCCATCTGGACCTGAGCTGTTTTTGGTTGGGAGACTTTTGATGACTGCTTATATTTCCTTAGGGGTTATAGGTCTATTTAAATTCTTGATTTAATTTTGGCAAGTGATATCTATCCAGAAAATTGTCCATTTCCTTTAGATTTTCAAATTTTGTGGAGTACAGGTTTTCAAAGTATGACCTGATGATTCTCTGGATTTCCTCATTGTCCGTTGTTATGTCCCCCTTTTCGTTTCTGATTTTGTTAATTTGCATGTTCACATGCTGTCGTTTGATAATTTTGGATAAAGGTTTGTCTATCTTGTTTATTTTCTCAAAGAACCAACTCTTAATTACATTGATTTTTTGTATTGTTTTTCTAGTCTCTGCTTTATTTATTTCAGCCCTCAATTTGATTATTTCCTGGTGTCTACTCCTCCTGGGTGAATTTGCTTCTTTGTGTTCTAGAGCTTTCAGTTGTGCTGTTAATTCTCTAATGTAACTATTCTCCAGTTTCTTCATGTGGGCACTTAGTGCTACGAACTTCCCTCATAGCACTTCTTTCAAAGTGTCCCATAAGTTTGGATATGTTGTGTCCTCATTCTCACTGAATTCTAGGAAGTCCTTATTTTCTTTTTTTATTTCTTCATTGACCCAGGAATGGTGCAATTGCTCATTATTCAACTTCCATGATTTTGCAGGGTTTCTGCAATTAGTGTTGTTGTTGAATTCTAATTTTAACGCATGGTGGTCTGATAAGGTACATGGAGTTATTCCAATTTTTTATACCCGTCGAGATTTGATATGTTGCCAAGTATGTGGTTGATTTTTGAGAAGGTTCCATGTGGCGCTGAGAAGAAGGTATATTCTTTTTTATTTGGGTGGACTGTTCTAGAGATGTCTGTTAATCCCAATTGGGTCATAACTTCTATTAGACTCTTTGCTTCTTTGTTAAGTTTATGTCTAGTAGTCCTGTCTAGAGGTTAGAGTGGGGTGTTGAAGTCTCCCACTATAAATGTGTGGGGCTTTATATGTGATTTGAGTTTTAGTAATGTTTCTTTTATGAACATGGATGCCTTTGTATTTGGGACATAGATGTTCAAAATGGAAACTTCATCTTGGTGGATTCTGTGATTAGTATGAATTCCCCTCCTTCATCTCTCTTGATTGATTTTATTTTGAAATCTAATTTGTTAGATATTAGGTTGTTACATCCACTTGTTTCTTGGGTCCATATGATTGGAAAATCTCTTCCCAACCCTTAACTTTGAGGTAATGTCTGTCTTTGAGTCTGAGGCGTGTTTCTTGTATGCAGCAGAAGGATGGGTTCTTTCTTCGAATCCATTCTGTTGGACCATTAATATTGAGTGATATTAATGACCATTGATTGCTCATTCTTGTTTGTTTTGGAATAGTTGATGGTGGTGGAATTATATGCGGATTTCCACCTCTTTTCTTTTGGCTATTTGTAAGGTGGGATTATCTAATGCCTATGTTTTTCTGGTTGTAGTTAACTCCCTTGTGTTGGAGTTTTCCTTCCAGAACTTTCTGTAGGGCTGGGTTAGTGGATACATATTGTTTAAATCTGGTTTTGTCATGGATTATCTTGTTTTCTCCTTCTATAGTGATTGGAAGCTTTGCTGGGTATAGCAGTCTGGGCTGGTATCCGTGGTCTCTTAGTGTTGGTAGAATATCAATCCAAGACCCTCTGGCTTTCAGAGTTTCCATGGAGAAGTCAGGTGTGATTCTGATAGGTTTGCCTTTGTATGTTACTTGGCCTTTTTCCTTTGCTGCTCTTAATATTCTTTCTTTATTCTGTATATTTGGGGTCTTGATTATTATGTGGTGAGGTGATTTCCTTTTGTGGTCCCCTCTATTTGATGTTCTGTAGGCTTCTTGTAATTTCATTGGCATGTCTTTCCTTAAGTCAGGAAAGTTTTCTTCTATGATTTTGTTGGATATGTTATCTGCCCCTTTGAGGTGGATTTCTTCACCTTCTTCTATACCTATTATTCTTAGGTTTGGTCTTTTCATGGCATCCCATATATTCTGGATATTTTGTGTTAGGGATTTGTTAGACTTAAGATTTTCTTTGGTCGATGAATCTATTTCCCCTAGTGTATCTTCAACACCTGAGATTCTGTCTTCCATCTCTTGTATTCTGTTGGTTATGCTTGTATCTTTAGTACCTGACTGTTTGCCCAGATTTTCTATTTCCAGCATTCCTTCAGACTGTGTTTTTTTATTGTCTCTATTTCAGCTTTCAACCCTTGTACTTTTTGAATTGTTTCTTGTAATTTTTGAATGTCTTTTCCTCTCTTTCTTGCATTTGTTGAAGTTTTTAGTTTGTCTTTTCTTTCATTTCTTGCATTTATTGGATTGCTTTTTCCTCCATTTCTTGCAATTCTTGCATTTTTTGGATTGTTTTTTTCTTCCATTTTTGCATCTTTTGATTTGGTTTTTTTCTTCCATGTCTTTAAGGGATTTTCTCATATCTTCTTTGAGGACCTCTATCATTTTCATGAAGTTGTTTTTAAAGTCTTTCTCATCTGCTTCTTCTACAATGGACTGTTCAGGTCTTGCAGGTGTAGATTCTCTAGTTTCTGACAGTGTCATATTGGTTTTTCTGTTGGTGGGTGTGTTTTTGTATTGTCTCCTTCCCATCATTTCTTCCCATGGATGTAGAGGGAGTCTCTTCCTCCCCTGGTGGGTATGTGACCATGGTTCCTTTCCAGAGGGTGGGAGCAGGTCCAATACTCTTGTGGTTTTCCTCTTGTGTGGATGAAGGCCGTTTTAGCACAAACATACTTATGTGTGCATCTCTGAGTTAAAAGGAAAGATTGGGTGGCAAATAAGGGGAAGATAAACTCTAAAGAAAAGAGAGATGTGCTTTTTAATAACTCTCATGATAGAACTGTGAGTAATTAAAGCTCATGCCAAATGATGAAGAAGTACTTGCTGAAAAAGGCTTTCAGTACATCTTGTAAACAAGCATTGCCCTCTTTTATTACAAATGCAGCTGGTGGCACAATCACACTAAATCAAAGTATATCTCCAACAAACTCAGTGCACTGTTTGCCATTGTGATTTGAATACTTCAGTTACAAAATGTGACATGGTGTCAGTCTAGAGATACCATTTCTGTAGCAGATGCCAATTAAAAACAAAGAGATAATTAAAGTATCCCATAAGTGAATAGCCCTCCTCAAGGTGTTCCCACATCTCTGGCCTTGAAGGAAGTAGCAAAGGAATACCAGGATTTGTAGGATTAGAATAAGTGTAATAAGAAACATACCATGTGTGGACTACTGTAACAAGTGACACAGTCCAAGGTGAAATCAGAGGGCCAGAGAAAAGAGGGAATCCATGACTCTAAACCATATTCTACAATATAACAACCCATATTTAACAAACTTTAGCAACCAGAATTCATCCAGCATCTGCCTGTATCTATCCACTAAGGGACCAGCACCAGGAACATGGGGCTGAGTGCCAAACGATGGTAATACTCAGATCTCTCTAAGCTTTCCCTGCTACTTGCCAAAGGCCAACTCAGTCACAGTAACTCATGTTCCTTTAGGTTATTCCAGTCCAGACCGTTTCTGTGATAGTTGTTTGACTTTCTGCCTTACTTTATTTTGCAGAGTAAAGAAGATTATCAAGCTATCAAATAGTGAAAGATTCTTGAAGATTAGAAGCAGACATTTGCAAAGCACATGAAGCAGATGAGTCTCTGCTGCATGGGATGGAGCGGGAAGAAGCGAATGGAAGTAGAGGGAGATACCAGTGTTTGAAAGGAGGAAAATTTCAGAGTGGAGTCTTTCAAAAGACAGCCTGACTATAACCTAGATTTACTTGGAACCTGAAGGTAATACAGGTTGAGATGTCCTTTACTATAAGCAATATAATAGCAAGAACAATAACTCCAAGCTAAGAATGTACAATTAGGTAGAAAACCAAACAATTTTTCAGGATAAAAATATATGTCTGGACAAAGTACTAATTTTAGAAAGATTGCCAGTGCCCAAGACTGAGCACAGAAACTCTTCTGTACAGGATTTTTACAGCATGCTCACCATATGCCTAAAAGGACAGGACCTCTCCTCCAACAAGTTCTTACTGGAAACAATGTCGTCTACTGGCAATGGTACTCATCCGACTTCTGAAGGACCTCCCCTAGAACAGCTTCCTGCTCTGTGCTGTTTAAAGTGGGCCTTTCCTTGAGGCTGTGTGAACTGAATGTCTGGCATCAGAAGCCATGGGACACACTGATGTCATAAAATGAGCATTGGGGCTCTGCTTCCTGTCAGGGGGATTCCTAGAAGCCATTTGCTCCTACCCAGAAGGGCCAGCACTCGGAAACAATTGCCAACCACAAAAACAGCCCCCACTTAAAACAAATTAAACATACTCCCATCTTGACTTCTCTTTAGCTACAGTTCGTCATTTTGTGGACACCCCACTCAAGCAGAAGAAACATGTAGGGGAAGTTGGAACTGAAAATGAAAACAGTCTTAAGCAACCATAGCTAAATATATCTCATTTGTAATAGATTTTACAAGGGCATACAACCGCGGGAACACATTGCAAGGGTCCCTCCCTTCTCTTGCAAGAAACCTGTGCAGCTAAGGGGTGGGGGTGGAAGTCACAGTTCAAGCTTATTTGTTGATCAGCTGCAGGGTAGGGCCTTCTCGGGGCTCTGATTGTAACTGAGATGCCAATCTGTAAACAGTGGTAACAGTGAATGACTTAAAGCAACCGGGTGTCCGTGGACTAGAAAGGATATATTTAATGGCCATCAGCAAGTAAAAGCAGGCTGTGTGAACTGAATGTCTGGCATCAGAAGCCGTGGGACACACTGATGTCATGATTCTGAGACAACTAGGAATGAACAGTGATGGAGAAATGAAAGGAGCATGGTGCCATCTAAAACGGCAGGTACCATTCAGCTTTAACAAACGCACTCCTATTCAATTCCGGTGTGGGGTGCAGAAATGGCCATCACACAGATGGAGGCCTGGAAATTAATGTCTTGGTTCTGTTAATCCCCACACTCCAGTTCCACGTGCCAAGCTCACTCCTAGGCACTTGTTTCTCCAGTTCATAAGAGGGTCTGGGATCTTTCTCTTTGTTCTTCTGCATGAGACCACTTGTTAAGATGCCTTTAAACTCCTTGGCTCCCAGGACAAGCCCATCTATTGGCTGTTTTTAATCCAAGACATACTTTTTCTACAACCTAGTCAAAGTGCAGTCTCACAGGGAGGTGAAAAAACAGAAGTGTGTTTTAGCTTTGTTTGGGGCATGCTGAGTGTATTTTGTGCTTTAAATTTTGAAAATATACCCTCTGGGGCTTGATTTCCCAGTCTAGACTCTAATCGGTGGAAATACAGCAGAATACAGACAGAAAAAAAATAAAAAGAAAAGAAAACTTGTCACCCAGTCCCAGTCATGACCCTAGAACGGTGGAGGAAAGCGCCTACAGTAGTATCGAAGGGTCCAGAAAACATGAAAGCCAATGTTAAGGAAACCCCACCGAAGGGCTGAGATCAGTTACGGAGCCTGCTCTCCCACAGGTACTTAATCTTTGCTCAAACTTCACAGCAAACATGCTCCTTTCTCAGGATGTCTTGCTGCTTCTCAAATAATCCCAAAAGGAGACACGCTGGACATCCCGTAATGAATAAAACTGCTGATGGGGATGGATTTGTAAACCCAAAATACCATATGTGGAGTCAGAACACTTTATTTATACCTTGGCCCGATGCTTCGCCCACGCACACAGGATTACGGAAGAAATATATGGCTGCCTGCTGGCCTAGAACTCTCTCAGGCCTTCCCCAGCAGCCTTGGTGAGAGCAGCAACCCTGGGCCAAGCAACCATCTGTAGCACAACAGGCCTTTCCAAGCCGAAAAGAAAGTAATAGAGATTAGAATTGCAATGGTAAACATACCCCTGCATATTTTGTTTCTGTATGTGTGTACAAGTAGGAACAAACCTAAGCAGACTCTTCTGGCATAAGATTATAGGTTAAAAAATAAATCCACCAACGTATTACATAATAACAAGATAAGAATAATTAAGAACAATATATTTCCTTTTATAAACTTTGATGGATAACCTTTAAGATGTTTTAAGGGTTATGTTCAGGCCACACACAGGATGGGCAATATTTTTTCTTCATTTTCTTTTACAGAAAAAGAGCTAATTTTGCTTAAAATAGAAAGAAGGCTATGGGCCTTGCATTTATCAAAGAAACAAGCATGGTTTATCATGTGAAATTATCTTTATTTCAAAGAAAATTAGAACCAAAGCCAAACCTACAGAGGGATATATACAAACGATAGTAACATCTGTAGATAAGGAGGGGCTCAGTGGGTCCTTAGTAGAAACTAAATCTTGTTTTTAGGCTTCTGTCACTCCAGAGCTTGAGTGGAAGCAGCCTTAACAAGGGTAGTAAACTTTACAGACACAATTCAACCCAGATGCATTTTCACCCTGTTCCTAGTCAGGATTCTATATGCAACTTAGACCTCAACATACATTCATTCTTTATACTCCCTTTGCCACTCGTGACTAGCCTCTAGAAGCAGAAAGGAGGGCTTCTTCCCTTAGAATCCCCCCAAATAAGGCAGGGACAGAAGGAATGGAAAGAGACCTACACTCAGAACCTCTGTTACCATGTGGCACTTTCCCTAAGGTGAAGCAGGTCCAGAATAAGAAAGATGTGGGAGGAGACTCTTGCTACCAAGCGATAGGTAAAATCACAGCTATGATTCAGCATGGTCTTTAACCTTCAGCACATACCTATGAGGTTGATTCTGAGCTATACCATCAGTAGGAAGTGAGCAGAGGCTGGGAAGCCTAAAGAAATCCATCTGCACTGCCTTGTATCGTGGAGAAGCTTGTAGGAGGGGTTTCCCAAGCATAACTATGTACCCCTTAACGACAGGATTATGTTCTAAGAAATGTATTATTTAGGTATTTCACTATATGCAAACATCATTCAGTGTACTTCCCCAAACCCAGATGACTTCACTGTCTTTAAGCATTATAATCTCATGGTACCACTGTCATTAGTTTTACTGTTATTAACCGAAACTTTCATATGAATACATTGTTGTAATATTGTTATTGGTTAAAAACACTCTAATAAATCAGTGGTTCTCAATCTGTGGGTTGCAACCCCTAAGACCATTGGAAAACATTTACAATTCATAACAGTAACAAAATTACATATATGAAGTAGCAATGAAATAATGTTGTGGTTGGGGACACCACATCATGAAGAATGATATTAAAGGGTCACAGCATTAGGAGGTTGAGAGCCACTGCTCTAAACATTAGTGTTGAGCTATTTTTTGAGATGATGTGAGCATTTACATCAATAGAATTCTATCAGAGTACAATGATAGTGTGAGGTTACCTAAGAAGAGAGAGTTCCACCAGTCAACTGTTTAAGACTTTAGTTGCAACATCAGTACTTCTCTGAGACTGCATGCAGTCATGGCCTATTCTGTAGACTCCAGACTTGTTGGCTCACAGCAACATAGGAGCAAATTTTTTTAACAAACTCTTGGTCTCTTGATAGGTAGATGATCAGAATAGGTAATAAATGGTAGATAGATAGACAAATAGAGGAGACAGATGATAGAAATGACAGATGAAAGACATATAAGGAGATAAAAGACAAAGATAGGTAATAGATTGACCTGTATATGTACTGTGCATGTTTGTGCTATATGTACCAGTTAGAAAATTCTAACACAGTCACTACTACTGGATTTAGGATTCAAATATATCTTGGTCTGATTCCAGAGCTTAAAGTCTTTTCCTAGCACCAGAACTTGACTGTGATTGCCAGAGACTGAATGACTCAATTGTATTTAATCACTCCCTCATTCATTCAGGAAACATTTAGAAAGCAGCCATTACCTTTTCAGTCCTGAACCGGACTACAGAAATTCAGGAGAATAATAAATCTTGCCTCTTCACAAAAGACACATTTGAACTAGCTAAACAAAAAGAAGGGTGATTCGTTGGGCAAAAGGAGCTCCGTGAGAAGCCCCGGAACACACATGTGAGTGCATGACATGTAGTGGGGGTGTGGAGAGAGAGAGGCCCCACACAGAAGCAGAAGGATCCCCGTTGAGGCAGAGATGGGTGTGTGGGCCAGCAGTACCAGCTCTCCTCCTGTTCTCTGGTACAGTCTATCAGGGCTTCTCACCTTGTCCAGGGCATGGGACAGGTCAGGGAGTTACTGCTGGGACAGGTAGGGAGATGGAGCATAGCCTGGGATTGGAGCAAGGATAGATGGGATTATGAACTAGGGAACCACACTCACAGAGAAGCAGCAGTTTGGGATAATGATACTAATGGAGACAGTGTTGTCCATTTTAGGTTTCTATATGACAGCAGAGGTGGAGGTCTTTATACTGTCTTCTCATCTCCCTTTTCCCTTATTCCTTTTTTCACTTTTCCATCCTTCCCTCTCCACCCCCAGCTCTGTGAGTGACATCTGGAGAACTTGCACCCAGGGGAGGAGGTCTGGAACACCTTATTTGACACTTATTCTGAGAAAAGTCAGTGCTCTGACTGTATACCAGACCCTAAACTGCCACCTGTGAATGGAAATGAACTCTGCCCCAAAGCCTTAATTTACAGGTTTTTTTTTCATTCAGCTGGAGACATAGTTGTTACACCAAACACACAAACATCTGGCTACCTCAGTTGATCCACTTCCTTCCTAGTGTGTAGCTGAAGGCAGGGAGTGAAAAAGTAAGAAGGAAAGGGAGGCAGGGAGGGTGGGAGGGAGGGAGGGAGGGAGGGAGGGAAGGAAGGAAGGAAGGAAGGAAGGAAGGAAGGAAGGAAGGAAGGAAGAAAGGAAGGAAGGAAGGAAGGAAGAAAGGAAGAAAGAAAGAAAGAAGAAATTCTGCAAGTTCTGGAGCTAAGAAGGTTACATAATTCTCCCATCCTGGATCACTCCTGGCAGCTGGCCTACCAAGGAGCACAGAGCCTGGAGCTTGAATATCTGAATTCAACCTCATAAGGATGGCTCAGATCATGTGACACAGCAGTGGCTGTCAAGGTAAGTGCTTTTGGCAATGGTTGAAGGGAAACGGCCTCAGCAGGCTACTCAGGAAGTATGTAATTGCCCAGTCAAGCACTCAAGGAGGACCCTTTGGCATGTTCCTTGTGGAGTCTTCCTCTTAGGAGGCTTCAGGGAACTCTTTCTATTTGAGAGAGGGGTGTATTAAAGAGCAAGGAAAATGGGGGCAGTCAGACGGGGCATTGAAAGTGAGTATGATTTCCTGCTGTTCACCCAGTAACTTATCTTACACCATCATCCATGAAACTCCTAAGATGAAATTGACAATTGGCAGGAAAGTCCTCATTTTCAAATCCCAAAACACTGTAAGTAAAACCTCTTAAACTTTTCGGAAGGAGACCCTGACCTGTCTGCCTGAGCTTCTAGGTGCAGCCTCATTGTTGTGTCTTGGCTTCTTGGCCATACCTCCTATCAGATAGCCAACCAGCCACTCAGCGAAGAGGAAATGCCCCAAAATGGGTCCTGGACAAGAGGCCCTTTGTGGGTGGACATTTCTTATCACCACAGACTCTAAGGTCCTTTAGTCCTTGAATCCTGAGAATCTGTTTTACTGATTTCATCACATCCCTGCAAAGTCAGGCATTGGGTCTGTCTCCAGTCAACACCCAGAAAATCCCATTGTCTGTTTAATACAAAAGCCTCACTGTGGCTTCATCTTCATCTCCTATTTTGTATCTTCCATTCATCATATTTCTTCGCTTGGTTTAATTTAGTTTTGCTTTGCTGTTTATAGTATATTTGGGTTCTCTGTTGTATATGTGGGGTTCTTCTGTGGTTTTATGCAGGCAAAAACTTGGCTGTTGAGCTGCTGGGTGATCATTCTGGTCTGCTAGACTCCTTAGAAGGAGTGTCCCAGGTCACAGCACCAAGCTCACTCTTCAACCTTGTTGACTCTGTGCTAAAGGGCACAGATCATGTGTCAAGAGACAACTTTACAACTAATGTTCATTGACTTTGGACACTGAACTTGAAAACCTATTAAGTCCTCACAGGCTAAGGGGGAAAGATGCTTGTCCTGGTTTTTCACTAACAGCATCTTTTTTTGGTTTTTGTAAATTTGAGTATCTCTGCCTGACAGAGAACATGTTTATTTAATTTTTGTTTTGTATCGTTTTTAAGAGACAGGGTTTCTATGTGTAGTCCTGGCTGTCCTGGAACTCACTCTGTAGATCAGGCTGGCCTCCAACTCCCAGATATCTGCCTGCCCCTCCCTCTATAGTGCTGGAATTAAAAGCGTGTACCACCACCACCTAGATATTTTAAAATTCTTAACAAAAATTACAAAGTAAAGTTAAAAAGGTAAAACTTACATTCGACATACTTTATGTCCTTGTTTACATATTTTCATTTTTATATACTATAAATAATTTCTTTTTCTAAGAACTATTTTATTTTTGTTTTTAAATAAATATAATTATATACTTCCACACCTCCATTTATTCCCTCTAGCCTTTCCCATATCCCATAGCGTCATTGATGTCCTCTTTTTCTTTATTATTGTTTTATATATATGTATATATGTGTGTGAATAAAAAATATAAATACAATCTGCTTGAGTTCATTTTTGTTATTTGTGTGTATATGGTTTTAGGGCTAACCACTTTATATTAGATAACCTATTGGGTCTCATCCCTGGAACAGGATAATTTTCTCTTCCTTGCCAATCAGTTGTCTGTAGTTTTGTCGAGAATAGGGCCCAAAGAAATTTCCACATTAACATGGTTTTGGTATTATTATTATTATTATTATTATTATTATTATTATTATTATTATTATTGTTATTATTATTTGGGTATTCTTTAGGCAACCATATTGTTGAGCTATCATGAGTGTAACTTTCCTGATGTTTCTAAGAGACAGAGTCTCACAGCAGACTTGCTATTTTCTAGTTCTTACAGTCCTTCCTCCCCCTCTTCCACAATGTTCCCTGAGTCTGAGGTGTGCAGAGGTTGTGCTATAGATATAAGATATATGCTGCACGTTCTCTGCCATCTGCATGTTCCTAGTTATATGTGAGCATATAACTTGGAATAAACCACAGAAACTGGGAAACCAAAATGAGACCATGGGAAGCAGGGATTAGGAGAGGGGCATTGCAAGATACAGGTGATGTAAAGGGGTAAACAGGAAAAATGGAGATGGGGAGGCTTTAATTGGGGTATTGGAGGGAGGTCAATAAAGAAGGAGTGGGAGGGAGTAAGGAAAATAACACTAATGGTGAATGAAGAAGCTTTAAGGAATCATATCATTTTATGTTTGCTTAAATTACATATAATATGCACATGTACGCATGCTCGTGCACATGCGTGTGTATACACACACACACACACATACACACACACACACCTACACCACTTGGGCTGATAATGTTCCCCCTAAGATCCATACATTATATAACAAAATTCCAGTACCAGTCATTAGAAACCCCCTTTCAAGATGTTAAACAGGTAAATCCAAGAGACTCAAAAAATAACATAGGCTTTTGCTTCCCAGAGGTTGAAGTTAAGTCCCCATGGCTGAAGGAACTACTGGCCACAGAACTTCAAAGATTCTAGCTAAATTTGATCTGAAATATTGCTCCCTGAGGTCTAGCTTTCATAGTCTTAAAAGACAAACTGCAAACTGCCAAGGGAGGGAAGCAATCAAAAGTCCTACCCAACTGTGATGCCTATGAACCACAGAAGTGGCTAGAAAGATGACCCTAGAGATGCAATAGAGACAAGCATATCTTGGCAGTAACCAACAGCTGTATAATTGGGCTTAAGGTCGGATCACAGCCATCAAAATTCAGCAATCAACTGATAATGGGGTGCCACATATCCAACTTTTAAAGATAAACATGCAATCAAGTGTTACCCTCCCCATCTCACAACACCCTTCCTGTGCCACACACAAATATGAGTGGCTGAGAACACTGACAACACATGTGTCCCCTGAGTTCTCAGTGTCGGTGTAACGTGGGGTCTTCTGGAACCTGAGAATTAATGGAGCGGCTGTAATTCTGTAAGAGATGGGATAGTGTTCTTTCATCCATTATCATTATCCAAGCAGTAGCTAATTAA